CACCGACCACCCCCGCCCCCCTTTGCTATTGCCAGACAAAGGAGGGGGTCGAGGTGGGTTCTGCGCTGCAGATGCTCACAGAGGGACAAGTAACCCGGAGATCAACCAGGGCCAAGGAGCTGCCCGGGCCTCCTGGAGTCTCGTTTCCCTGAGCCTGCCTTCCTCCGTCTTTGCCTAGACCAAGTTAGAAATGACTGAGGAATCTCTTCCCCCTTCCGTGGGACAGAAGAGCTTCTTGCGACAATATCGCCACTGGGTAGGGACGATATCCACCCAACCCCTCCATTGGCTGCCGGCGTCAAGGCTTGCATCAATCAAATGATGAGGGGAAGGACAGGGCCAAGGCAGCCCAGCGCCGGGGCGCTGGCCGTGGGCCCGGCTTGCCTAGTGCCGGGGTGGGCACGGCCGGGGAGAAGGCATTTCACATGGACTGGCCGGTGTAGCTGTCCCATGAAACCGATTGAGATGCTTTTTGATGGGGAAGGCGCAGCGGTTTTCCATTGGGAAGTGCTGAGGGAAACGATGAGTCAGCACGCTCGCTCCGCGCAGGATCCGCGCAGGATCCGCTCAGTCTCGGCGCACGCTGTTAGGTAACGCGGCTGTTGTTCGCAAACTAAGCAAGAGCCTGGCTAAAATGCCTTGCTTCCCCGCCCCCCCTTCCTCCTGACGGTGGACAATTTCTTGTGGCCCAAATTGTTTATCTTCTTAGGGGGAAAAAAAAAATCCTCGAGTGGAGAGGATTGTTAGGTAGCAGCCTATAATCTATATTTTGTCAAGAGTATCAAATTCATTCCAGAAGAAAAGCTCGATCCATTTATTTTTGCTGCTTGAATAGCACAGCTGGATGATGCCTTGATCTTACGCTAGACGGTTGCTCATCATTCATTCGCCAAGAACTGGCCTAAATGGTGCCTGTGGGATTAGGTCAATTTTAGTGGATCTACTTCGGCTCATTTGGTTACTAATTGGTTTCTTGTTTTATAAATCGAAATCTCATTTTCAGGAAATTACAAAACCCATGCAGCCTGTCCATTGAGGTAATCCGTGGGTCGGGGGTATTTAAATGGAAATGGTTCCACAATGCATCAAGTATTAAGCAACAGTAAAACTTCCCCTCTATTTCCAAATGAAATGTGAGCTCGCTAGCTCCTTAGATCCGTAATAGATACATCCCTTCTAAGGCTGCTTATGTAAATATGATAAACCAGACCTTGGTGGGGGAGGGGACGCAGGGAAGAAAGCAAATTTTATCTGCTAAGGTTAATGTGGCGTATCTTGGAAATCTTCCAAAATAGATTATGTTTTGCTTTGTCTTCGGCCACTTTAGCTGGGAAAATCCTTTGCCTAAAAACGATTTAGTTATCCTTCCCCTCACAAAGCTGCTTGTTTCTGTTCCAAACCTATTATGCTGTTGGCTCTCCAAATTACAAGAGAATCTTTAGATCTTGTTTCCAAGCATAATCCTGAAGCAAAAGGGAGAGCTGATTTCCTTGTTTTGTTTTAAATAGACAATCAAAGGATTTGCAGAATTTTCTGCGGTAGGTCAAGTGCAAGAAATCAGTTTGCCCCCTCTATAAAAGGAAATTGGATGTTAAAGCGAATAGAGGGGGAAAATAAAAGGGAATATTAATGGAGAGGTTTTCTCGTATAATCTTTAAAAACAGTATTTAAGGAGCATCAGGAGAGCCCGTCGATTTGGGAGAGGCTGGGCTTGGCAATGACTAGAAATAGCCTCCGACTGGAAAGTGCTGAAACATCTGGGAAGTACAAAGAATCGTCTCATGTGATAGGATTTCGAAAAGCCGGTTCAGGTAGAGAAGTGAAACCCTTTAATTATCAACCATTAACAGACACAGCCCAGCAGCGCGGGGTTTCCACCTGAAACCCAGCGAGGAGCTCAGCGCCCCGTGAAGAGCCGCCTTCCCGGGGGGAGGTTAACCTGTAATGCCCACGAGCTGTTCATTAACCCGCCGGGGTCGGGTTATTTTCCCTTTTAGAAGAAGAATAATTAGGGCCGTAAACTCCGATTAATAAACAACTTAAATCATAGGCGGGAAGCCCAGATTTAGCCCCGAATACAAAATCCTGTCATTCAGATTTCCCTCCAGGTGGGGGGAGGTCGTAAGGAGCCGCCCCTGCTATGACGGGCCGTGCTGGCTCCCCAGCACCCCTGAGGAGCCCGGGAAAAACCAATATACAGCGGGGTTTTCTTTTCGGGGGGCGGGGGTGACCTCCCGTCCTGGCGGCTGGCTCCCGGGGGAGGGGGCGGCGGGCAGAGGTGCCGGCGGAGCCGCCGGTGCACGAAGCCCAGGGACTCAGGAAAAAGTCACTGGGTGCCCGTTAATTGGCGTGGAGGAGTTAATGGGAAGGAGCCTGTTTCTGGCTGGCACCCCGGTACACGCCGGGGCTGCGGGATGGGGGCCAGGCCAGAGAGATGCTCCTGCCTTTGTAGGGCTGTGAAGTTACGGAGGAAGGAGAGATGCGTAGGAGCGGCGAAGAGACAAATTGGCGTGAAGAGGTGGACGACGAAGGGGGGGAGAAGAGAGGGAAAGGTGGGGACGAGCGGGGCGCACGGCTCCGGCGGTGGGGAGGGCGGGCGAGGGCCGCCGCGGGATGCCCCCTTCGAACAGCGCGGAGGAAATCGTTAGCTTTGTTTAGAGCGGCGAACACCTGGGTGAAGCCGGTCAATAGCGAGGGATGCCCGCGGCTGCCTGCTGTCGCCACCTCGCCTGTTTGCCTCGAAATAGCCGGAAAACGGGGTCTTGCCTTCCCCGAGCCCGCCCTGCGGGAGGGAGACCTCGCCGGCTCGGCTCTCGAAGGATTGGTTTTTTTTTTTTTTCCCTCCCTTTTATCTTAGTGTCTGTGCGTGTCAGGCTGAGTCTTATTTCACGGCATAAGCGTAAAAGGTTTTATCTGCCCCGTTTAAATTATTTCAGCAACGACACTGTGGAAAGGCATCGCTCATGAATGGTTTTACTCCGGTGGAGTAATTTCCATCTGGCTTTTATTCTTCCTCACTTTGCATAGGAGAGAACAAGCGGCGTCTGAAACATTATACAGGTCCGGAGAGATTCATTTCTGGAGGGGGCTGTTTGGAGGCAGATCATCCCTGCTGCAGAGAGACCCATCCCGCCTGCCAGAGCAGCGGGGAGGAGGGATGGCGGGGAGGGAGGTGAATCCCCGAGACCCGGCTTCGTGGGGCAGGAGGGGTTGCATCTGGTGGCTCCTCTCTCCCTCCCCCAATAGGCAATTACAAACCTTCCAGGTGAGAGGACGGTGGCCCCGAAGAGAGAAAGAGGCAGGAGGTCACAGATCAAACTGGAAAGTGATTTCTGGCGAGCAGGGGGTCTAAGCCCATCCTTACCACTCCCCCTCCAAAGCCTGCTGGCTGATTACCCGGCAGGTTGTGGCCCAGCTCTGCCTTCTGCAGGGGGGGGGAACCCCCCGCAGGCAGCGCTCAGGTGCCGGCAGGACCGGCCCGCATCCTCCCGGGCACCGTCGTGCCACGTTAACCGCATCCTTCCCTCGACATCAAAGGCTTCCCCCAGCACATCCCTTTCTTTCATTTTAAGTAGTTCTCAGTGTTGTCCAGCATCCCTTCGGTGACTTTAGGAAAAAGGCTCTTTCCAGAAGTTTAAGGAGGCAGTTCCCAGAAGCCGAAGGCAGCACTACAAAGCCCTTTTATCTGGCACGCTATTTTACTTAGGTCTTAGGAATGGACTTCACCGTTAACTCAAAATAGGCATTTTGGTATTTTTCTCTCACGGGAGTTAGGTCTTAAAAAAAAATCCACAGAAGAGGCTTCTCTGTGCAACGAAATCATGTCTAGTTTTCCAAAGATTATATGTATACGTGTTTTACAGCGAATACAAGCAAAAAATTGAAAAAAAAAAAAAAAAAGTAGTTCCTCTCCAGAAGGCCAACATGAGTCAATTTTTCATCTCCTCACCTTACTTTTTTGTGTGTCTTAAATAAACAGGACTTGGAGAAGCCTGGGGGCACTCTAGCCGAACCAGCCCGCTGGATAATGTTGGACGGGAACTGGGATCCCATCTTTTGCAGGTACTGGTCTGGAAACGACAGCCATGTGGTATTAATGATTAAAGAAATCATTCCCTCTTCTGAGCCTTTAATTGCCACCTTGACTAATTTTTAACTGTTCAAGTGTTTAATAAAAAAAAGGGGGGGGGGGGGAGAGGAGGAGAATTCAGAAATATGAACCGTGGCGGTTGAATGTCGTGCGTTGTAATGGGGCTGTGGTTTGCTGCCTCCGGGTTCTTTGCCCCAGCAGCGGCCAACACAGGGTCCGCAGCAAGGGGCTGACAGCGCATCCCGGTGTGCCGTCTGGGACCAGAGAACAGGAGCATGACTTTTCCCTAAATTATGAACAAGGTGACAAGTCCCGGCAATGCGCTGAACCTCAGGGTGGTGGAGAGAGAGAGAGAGAGAGGCTCTAGAGACAAGTTAGAGGAGGCTGTCCTGGACAGAAGGGCTCAGGATTAATTGGCATAGACAGAAATCAGGTAGGACACATTTGAAAACTCACTGCGGTCTGAAATGTTAAGGAATATTAGCGGTTACCATCACTACGCATTTTTGGTGGGGTTGTGTGGCCTTTTGGGGACCTATACCTCCCTCGGCACACGCAGAAGTCCCACCTATGTCTGCTGAAACGTGCCTGACAAATTGTCTCGTCCCTTATTTACACTGCGGAGAGTTTTAGATCGTCCTCGCTTGCTTAAACTCTCCTTAGCAAATATCCAAGCACTAAACCCCCAGTGACATTTGAAATGGGATAGAGGTATTCAGGATTTCTGGCACCGACATCTTAATCACCGGGTAGCCGGGACCTCTTCTTAGATACTTCCCAGGCACTTGGCATTACTTTTGAGCTCGGCCGCTCTGAGAAGTGGGTTGTATCTCAGGAGTCCAGGAGCTTTAGAGGAATTCCTGTCCAGGACTTGCTCATTTCCTTCCAACTTTTTGAATAATCACAGCCTGAACAGGGATGCCTGTTTGCTAAAATAAATCCGAGGGACAGGTACTTCATGGATCTATCTGTCTTTATGGGTAGATCTATCTGCCTGTTTATTGATATATTTATACTTCCCACCCCTCAACCCTTTTCTGCAGACGTTGGACGGTTTCATATTTGTCGTGGCTCCGGATGGCAAGATCATGTACATCTCGGAGACCGCCTCGGTGCACCTGGGCTTGTCGCAGGTACGCTGGGGGGCTGCAAGCCCCCGTACCTGCCTGCCCTCCCCCCCACGGCTGACAGGGGAGGTGCCTGCGGGAAGGGTGAGCGGTGCCGGCGATGAACCCCTTCCTCCCCCTCCTCCTCCTCCTCTCTCACAGGTAGAGCTGACCGGCAATAGCATTTACGAGTACATCCACCCCGCCGACCACGACGAGATGACGGCGGTGCTCACGGCCCACCAGCCCTACCACTCGCACTTTGTGCAGGGTAACGTACACAGCCCTCCGCGCCCCCCGCCCCTGCTTGGTCTGCGCGGCGGCGGAGAGAACCGCGCAGCCCCCCCTTCTCCCTTTTCCTCCTCCCAGAGTACGAGATCGAGAGGTCCTTTTTCCTGAGGATGAAGTGCGTCCTGGCCAAGAGGAACGCGGGCCTGACCTGCGGGGGCTACAAGGTGCGTGCCCACGGCCAGGACCCCCCACCCGCAGCGCCGAGCACGCCGGGCGGGCGGCGAGGACGGGGACGGGAGCGGGGCTGAGCCCTCTGCCCGCGGGGGCCGGCCAGGCCCGGTAGTCTTTCATGTGGTTCAGAGCCAGAATTTCTCTCGGAGTTTCAGGTTAAAGAGCTCAAACCACAAAACCCAAGCAATCGAGCTCCCCGTGGGTTTTTTTGTTTTATTTTGCTTTTTAAACGGAACCCCGCGCAACCACTGGCGTTCCCGAGGTGTCTGTGGAAGCTGTCAGGTGACACAATGGGAGCCCTGGGTTAATTTATTTCTTTATTGGGTAACTCGTCAGCTTCAGGGGCAGCTCTCCAAGTCAAGGGTTTTGCCCGGCTGTTTCACACGGTTCTGCTCAGGGCTCCTCGGCGGGGACAGCCCCTGCTCCCCTACCTTCTCCCCGCTTTTGTGTCAGCCGCACGGCGCCGGAGGGAGGTGGGTACCTATAACCCAAGGAGATGTCGTGCCACGATGTGGCGTAGAACAAGAACATCTGTTGAAATTACTCCAGGAAGAAACACCCTGATAACAGACAAATAAAACTGGAAGTACACGGCAGTCAGACGCAAGGATACATTTAGGAGACGTACCTAAATCTACGTCCAAAGATGCATTCTGGCTACGGGTTGCGTCTGCTCTATCTATATAATAGACATATCTTACACATGTGACATATGCACACATGTAAACTCTTTCTCTCACACGCATACACTCTTCATTACAAAGTTGTAACTGGCTTGGCACTTCCGCGTCTTGCCTTTTTAGAAGAATAATAAAAACGTAGTTAGGAGGTGGTCCAAAAACCACTTAAGTCAGTGGAAAAAAAAAATCTCGTTGACTTTAATGGGCCTTAGATCAGTGCTGAACTCTCGCATGGAAAGAAACCCAACCCCAACCCAAACAGCAGAGCAGAAAACCGGCAGACGGTGCCGCTTTGCCGGAGCGGGGCAGCGACTGCGGGGCAGCCGGCGGCCGCACGGGCAGAGGCCGGGGCGTGGGGCGGGCC